GTCTTCCTCGGTAAGTTTCTCTCGCTCTTCTCTTTTTGTTTTGTTGTTTGCTTTGTGGTTTGTTGGTGTTTTGCTTTAATTTTTGGTCTCTTGCTCTCCGTCTTTGCTTGATGTGGCCTCCTCCTCTCTTTTTTTTTTAGGATTCGGTGGCTTTTATAGTCACCACAGAGTTCTGTTTGGACCGGTCCTGAGAGGGAAACCTCGGTGAATCACCAAAGCTAGGCTAGTGACTCACCGTAGGGATGGTTGTTGGTTGCCATCTGGCGTTCTGGAGTGTTCCTTGAGGCGGCGGCGTGGCATCAAGGCATCGACAGCAGCTGGTTGGACCATCTGGCTTGGGAAGTGTCGGCAGAGGCGGCTGTTGGGAGTTCTTGGAGGCGACGGCAGCAGTGCTAGGGTTTAGAAACCCTAGTTGAAACCCTAAATATTTAGGGTTTCATTTTAGTCTGGGCCAGTAGTAAATGGGCCTTGTAAATGGGTTTAGGGTTTTGTAATATTTAATTTAATAATATATATATAATAATAATAATAATAATAACAATTTTAAAAATAATAATTTAAATAATTTAAGTAAAAGGAAAAATTAGTGTTTACCGTTGTAATTTGCCCTAATTTTTCAACAAATATTTTTTCAAAACTCCGATTGCTTTGCACAGCTTGGAGTCATAATGAATTACTGATAATAACCAACATTACATATAAATTCTTTAAAATATTATTTTAATCATACTACTGTTTTTGAGCAGAACAAAAAGAGTAGACAGCCTGAGCAGCAGCTGTCAATCCTTTTTGAGACTTTAAGGAGTGAGATATTTGTATTCATGGCCACCGTTAAGCCCCCAACGTCGAATTTTCAATTAATTGGGGATTTAGGGCTTCTGTTCAACACCCAATTCGATTGGGACTTCAACTTTTGCTTTGATTAGCTGAGGAAACCACAAACAAAGATGGCTCTGCAAAACCATTATTTTTTAGACGATAAGTTCGTTTGCTTCCATAGTATCTTGCGAATGAAAAAGACGGCTGACGCTCTCGAAGTGTACGGCGGCGGCTCCTCTATCTTGGGCCCAAACTGGGCCTCATTCCCAACAGTTCGTCACCATGCTCAGTTAAATACTTAAATCCCTCTCAAAAATTTGTTTTATTGAAAATTATATTTATAATAAGGATAAAGTACACAAATGGTCCTCTGACTATAGGGCACTATTTTGTTGAATCTCTTGACTATTAAAAGTTATAAAATGATCCACTGGGTGGGTATTCAGAGTTGCTTTGTTAAGTCATCGACTATTAAAAATTACAAAATGGTTACCCGACTATTCATTATGTTTCAAACTCGTCATTTTTTGTTAAAAAATTAACGGTCGTCTGAGCTAGACGTTACCATGTTAATTGAGATATGATAGTCATTTGAGAATATGAGATCAAATTTTATTATATCTCACAACAACAACAAAACCCTATTCCCATACGCAATGGGGTAAGGGGAGATAGGTTAATAGGATGCCCCCAACACCAAGTTGAGAGTAGTTTTTGTGGAAGACCTCCGGCAGTCAGAAAATTAAAAATAAAGATAAAATACCATGCATGTATAAATAAAATAAATAAAAACATAGTTGAACAGTCTTCATATGCAATCATTCATATGCACGTCTGTAATGGGAAGTTATCCCTGCCAGTAAATCCCTGCGTAAAAATCTCTGCATATAGACAGAAATGTAAGTCCCGGCTAAATTTAAAAAGTGGAAACATGAAGAGAATGATACACAGAAGTCAGCGATAGCAAGCTACGAGAAGGAATAAAGTCAAAATGGATTAAAACCTAAACTAAGGCAACACAACTCTGCTACTATAGTTCTAAGCCTTCATAAATTCCAATGAAAGAAACGTATAAAAAGTAGAGGTCATGGAAATTACTACAAAGACAATTAAAAAGAAGAACAGAGATGCTACACCCTATGGTTGTTGACCCACACTACTCGGCTACCCCGATCTTAAGTCTCCATACTTTCCTATCAGAGGTCATGTCCTCAGTAAGAGATAAATCCTTCAAATCAGATCTCAAGCAGTCTACCCACTTCCTCCTTGGTCGTCCTCTCCTTCTGGCACCGTCGACTGTAATCGACTCTACCCTCCTGACCGCATCCGACAGTTGTCGTTTAAGGACATGCCCAAACCACTGTAGTCTTCCCTCCCTTAATTTTTTGGATACAGGCACCACCCCCAAGGACATCCTAATAGCAGAGTTTGATGTCATGTCACATAGAGTCCTACAACATGCCCATCGAAGCATTAACGTCCAACTCATACTGCAGTCAATTTTTTAACGGAAAAGGACATGTTGGAAATATATGAATAGTTGAGTGATCATTTCATAACTTTTAATTTGAGTGACTTAACAAAATAAAATCTTATAATCAGAGATAATTTTATAACTTTTAATAATTGGATAACTGAATAAAATAACGCAGTCAAAAACTAATTGTGTACTTTACCCTTATAATATTTACTCGATGAAAGAAACATATGAAGCTTTTATTTATAAATTTATATTACTGCTGTGTTTGATTTTAAGCACTTGCTTTTAAAACTGATTTCTAATTAAATTGATGTTAAATCGACCCTTCACATCTATTCAATTAAAGATTTTAAATACCATTATAAAATATATATTATACAATCTAACTATATATTCTTTTGATAGTAAAATAATATACTTTCATCATTAATTTAATTCGATTGATATTATATTTGTTCATTATTGTTATTAATTTAAGGATTAATACAAAAATAAGTACTTAAACAATGTCTCGAAAAACATTGTTTTAGTGCCTAATTAAATTTTTGTTAAAAATAAGTACCTAACGTTTTATTAGTTACACTTTTAAGTGCATACCGTTATATTTTTTAAATTTTAAAAAAATTTAATAATAAAAATATTATTTTTAAAAAACTTAATTTATTTGTAAAAAACCCCAAACTTTTAATGAAATTATATAAAAAAAATATCTTCTTTCAACCCTTATTACCAACCGTCGTTAGTCATCTCCAACCACCATCGCCGCTGAACACTTGAGTTTTGATTGAAATTGCACGGTGGTTCGAATGGTGGTAACGGTGTGACTTAAAAACAATGACAGTGGCTTAAAATTCTATGAACCTTTGAACGCTTATCCATGACAAATGATGACGAAAAGCCAACGAGGATTTGATCAAGAGTAGATGTCGGTGCCGATAAAGGTGATAGTGACAGTAATGGTTACGATTGGTTGACCGACGACTATGGAAGAGGAAAGAGAGAAAAGGGGAAAGGGGAAAAGGGAAAAGGAGAAGGGGGCACGTGGGGTGTTTGGGTTTGTTTGTTTGTTTTGTTTTAAATAAAAATATATTTATTTTTTAAATAAATTCTTAAAATTATCGAAACGTGACTCGTGACATTTAATAGTCAAATTTAACAGTCGTTACGATATAGACACCTAAAAGTGTTCTGATGAAAATGTTATGTACCTATTTTTAACGAAAATTTGTTTAGACACAAAAACATTTTTCGAGACAAAGTTTAGGCACTTATTTTTGTATTAAGACTTAATTAATTAAATTTTGGTACATCATATTATCATAACATTTACTATAACTATTTAATATAATAGATCAAGTTTAATATTATAATTAAAGAAATTGAAAGTTTAATATTATAAACATAAATAATATTATTCGAAAAAAATATATATATAAAAATGATTTAAAAAAATGTACTTAACTTATTTGTTTATGTTTAGGTTATTGCATGTTATTATTTAGTGGATCAATATTGCATACAAAACTTTTATTAATTAATTTATTATTTATACACATTGTTAACTTAAGCAGATTAAATAATTTCAAATTGTTTCTAGATTAGATTGATTAAAAATATATATTATATTAGGGCAAATCAATATTTATTTTGGGATTTATGGTATTTTCTACAATGACACGGAACTCATCACGTCGAGGTGACGAGTTTTAATAAAAAATATTTTTTTATTCTAACTTTTTATCTCGATGTAATAAATTTTAATAAAAAATATATTTTATTCAAACTTATCACCTCGGCGTGAAGAGTTCGAATAAAAAAAATATTTTTTATTAAAACTCGTCACATCGACATAAAAAGTTATAATAACACTGTAAAAAATATCGTAGATCCCAAAATAAATTGATTTGCCCTAATGGGTTAAATAAAAAATCTGTTATCTTTATTAGGCTAAATCAGCCGAGGTGCTAACTCAAATCTTAACTGAACGACGGCGTTTCAAAGTCGTTTTTGCTTTGCTGCAGCGCAACGGTCATGACGTTGAAACAGAAAAAGAAAACGAAAATCGCGGGAACACGACTACAAAGAAATCGGGAATGTTAAAGTTTATTGCCAAACCTAAAATCTGCTTCAGTTATCCTAAAAAATAAGCTTTAAAGCTGGCATGTGTTTTTTGTTGTGTTCTCTTTTGATCTCAGGTTATTGTTTTTAATTTTCGTTACAAAATATATAATATATTTTCTGGGAGGTTGCTTTGCTTTGATGGTTTCTGTTTTTACCTGGAAATTTAGTGTTCTGAAATTCCGAAGAAATCAAATTAGACAAAAAAAAATCTGGGTTATTGGTTTCAGGTGTTGTTCGACGGATGGATGGTTTGAAACGGTCAGCTTTCATTTCATTTTCTCTTCCTTTTTTGGTTTTCATTTTTAATTTGTTTGTTTTATGTCATCTTTTTCTAGGGAATTTTTTCATGCATAAAATTGAAGTGTTTGGATTGTAAGGAATCAGGTTGTCTGAATATAGAAATTTATCAACGACAGGTTTGTATTTTGTGTAAAGCTAAAAACACTTTCGTGTTTCATTAATGTCCTCAATGACAACAATTCAGCAATTTTGTTTATAAAATGATGTTTTTGCAGATCAGAAGAGATTTGGGGCTGTTTGATTCTGGTGTTTTAATTTCCAGAATTCGGACAGCACATCAATGGAGGAATTCAGACAAATTGGTGAGGTTTTGGGAAGTTTAAGAGCTCTCATTGTCTTACAAGATGAGTTTCAGATCAATCGACGACAGTGTTGTCTGTTGTTAGACATCTTCTGTTTGGCTTTCGATGTAATCGCCGAAGAGATCCGTCTGAACTTGAAACTGGAAGAGAAGAACACCAAATGGAGTTCCCTCGAGAACCCTTTGCGAGAGCTTCAAAAGATCTTTAAAGAAGGAGAATCGTACGTACGACAATGTATGGACAAGAGATCAGATTGGTGGGTTAAGGCAATCAATCTCCATCAAAACAAGGACTCCGTTGATCACCACATCCACAATTTACTTTCTCATTTCCCGGCGGTCCTCGAGGCCATCGAGATGGCCGGAGAGATCGCGGGACTCAACCGGGATGAGATGCAAAGGAGGAGAGTCATGCTTGTGAGGAAGTACGATGTTGAATGGATGGATCCGAAGCTTTTTCAGTTTCGGTTCGGAAGGCAGTACTTGATCCCTCGAGAGATTTGTAGCCGGTTTGAGAGTGCGTGGAGGGAAGATCGATGGAATCTGGTCGAAGCTCTGAGGGAGAAGAAGTGTTCGGAATCGGTAACAAAGAACCAAGATTTGCTCGCTGGCTTGTTGATTCGGAAAATTATTGGATCAGAGGCTTATAATGGTAAACTTTTCCCTAGTTCAATCTTGTATGGAGGGGACTACCAAGTAAGGCGAAGATTAGGAGGACAATACAAGGAAATCCAATGGCTGGGAGAGAATTTTTTGATGAGGAACTTCTTTGGGGATGTTGAGTCGTCAAGTTTCGAAATCTCTACATTGCTTTCACTTACTCATCCGAATATACTGCAACACCTTTGCGGATTTCACGATGAAGATAAAAAAGAAGTTATGCTTGTTCTAGAGTCGGTGAACAAGGATCTCGGCTGTTATTTGAAGGAGAATTATGGTTCGAGAAGGAGGATCTTGTTCTCGCTTCATGTTGTGGTTGATCTTATGTTGCAGATTGCAAGAGGAATGGAGTATCTGCATTCAAAGAAGATTTATCATGGACAGCTGAACCCTAATAACATTTATCTAAGAGCTAAGAACAGCACCGAAGGTTGTTTCCATTTGAAGATTTCAGGTTACGGTTTATCCAATATCAAGCCTCTTTCATCCCCGAACTCGTCGCCGAGGAGATATGAGCCCAACCCCACCATTTGGTATGCTCCAGAAGTTATGTTAGAGCAAGAGAAGCTATTTATTGGATCCTCGGTTTCAAAGTATTCAGAGAAGGCAGATGTGTACAGTTTTGCGATGCTTTTCTTCGAGCTCTTGTCTGGGAAACCGCCTTTCGAAGGACATGGAGAGAAGATGAGTAGAAGTATCATCGAAGGGGAGAGGCCTCTTTTTCCCTGCACAGCGCCGAAATATCTTGTCAACTTGACGAAAAGGTGTTGGCATACGGATCCGAACCAGCGTCCGAGTTTCTCATCGATTTGTCGGATTTTGCGTTACATCAAGAAGTTCATTGTGATGAACCCTGACTATGATCATCCCGAAATGCAATGTCCAATTGCAGATTATTGTGAGACAGAGTCATGGTTTGCGAAAAAGTTCACTGCAAATGGCACTCTCAATCCACTTTCAGTTACACAAATCCCATTTCAAATGTTTGCTTATCGGCTTGCCGAGAAAGATCGAACTATTATGAACACGGAGGATAAAAACGGCGAGTTAACGGCCGAACGGACCTCGACTTGCAGAGATGACAATGTTTCTATAATAGAGGAACCCTTTGCAGGAACGAGTGATAGAACGTCTGCTGGTTCTGATGCAAAATCTCGTGGTTCGGATACCAAGTCCGTTTATTGGGATGTCCGGTCAGTCTACAGCGAGATTCCAGAAAGGAAATCGATCCAATTGTGTACGCCGCCCAAGAGACAAATTTCCACCAAGATTCCAGAGAAGAAAATTGTAGTCACAAAGAAAAACAGTAACGTGAAGGCCAAGAAAAGTCCAGGTTAGAGATGTAGTTGACACTTTCATTTCTGATCATGATTTTGTACTTATGAGATGTGGAGGATACTGAATTGAACATTTTATTCAATGATTGCAGTGGCAACAAATGGACTATATACTAGACCGTCGACCTTGAACCGTGTTCACAGTACTGGGATAATCCGAGAAAACCGATCGGCATTCGTCACCGGTTCCTCCACTTACCGGTTCCTCCACCAGAACCCGGCAACGAACGACAGCAGCGGCGGCGGCAACGGGTCATACCTCAGATTAGCACCATTTAATCACCATAGTTAACAGGATTGGTTCGTGAATCTCCACAATAATCAAAGAAAATTGTTAGCCATTCATTTTACGTTCCTTCAGTAGAGGCCGGCAACAAGCAGCAGTGAAACGGCAGGTAAAACATCGGATTGGAACCGATTAATCGGCATGATGAACGGAGTCGCCTCGTGAATTACAGTGATACATAGGGGTGCTTATCGAGCGAGTCGATCGCGAGTTGGGTAGTGCTAGACTTGTGTTCGTTAAAAAGTTTTGTTGCTTGACTCGACTCATTGCTCGTTAAGCTCGTTGCTTGTTATGTTCGTTGCTCATTAAGCGCGTGACTCATAAACTTACCGAAACTTTTACCTTGTTTTCTTAACTATAAGTAAAATCTGTTAAACTATGTAGAACTTAAGATAAACATAAATTAATACATTTAATTTGAAATTATAGAAATAGTGTATGAAGCAACTTTAAAATCTAAATTCTAAAGCAACAATCCACAAATATATTAAAATAATAATTTATTGGGTAAATTCACAGTTGGTAACCTAATTTCATAAAATTTTCATTTTGGCCATTGAAAATAAAAAAAAATCAAATTGAACACCATCAATAGACATCATTTGCATTTAGTCACCCACGCTAGATTTTATGATCATTTTAGCCCCTCCCATTAAATTTTGTAAATTTTATTTTTATTTTAGTCACTCATATATAACGATAGTCTTGATTTTTCTTTTATCCCAATAAATAATTTAAATATTTTTCTCACCTAATAATTAAAATAATTTCACACAAATCGACTTTATCTGTTGTTGTTTATTTGAAACCGTTTGAGTTGTTCGAGGAGTACTATCCTCCAAAATAAAACATTTTCTAACAAATTTTGACCCTATACGTCTTGGATGATTGTCGTTGAAAATAATTTTGCATAACGTTGATGTTGAAAATAACGATGATGTTTTCTTATAAAAATGATTATTAAGGTTTTTTTGGTAAAGTATAGTAATGATCACTGAACTTTTCTAAAGCTTTGATTTAGGTCCCTCAACTTTTAAAACTTGCAATATAGTCCCCCAAACATTTAGTCTGTTTGCAATATGGTCTCCCAACATTTAGTCTGTTTGCAATATGGTCCCCGACCGTTTGATGCCATTACACTGTCGTTAGTACGTTTGCAATATAGTCACTGAACTTTTCAGGCACTTGCATTTAGGTCCCCCAACTTTTAAAACTTACAACACATTCCTAAATTTTATTATAAACCCTAAATTTCTTTTCGATCTCGAATTTCCCTTTTCGCTTCTCTATTCTCATTTTTAGCGTAACTTTTTAATTGGGGATGTATGAGAAATTCTAATCTAACTTTGAATTATGTGGAGGTGTTGACTTGAATAAGGGTCCATTGAGAGAAGACCCGACCAAAGGACTATCGGGAGCATCAACGATTCAAGGTGTAATGTTAGATACATGTCATCTCAGGTGAAGCATAGATGTTCGATGAAATGCTTGTAAGAAAAAAATGGGGTTAGAAATGCAGAGTTGACAAATACTACTAAGATGAAGTAAATATCATTGTTAAAAGTCACCAACAAAGATGTAATTATTTTGTATAAATGGCATATAATAATTTCTTCGTTTAATCCTTATGCTTAAAAATTTTCCAACAGATGATCAAATATAATGAAATCCTAAACAGCGCATTCACCTCTCAGTCTCTTTCGCATCTCGATAGGCATCATGACAGGGTCAAGTAGTTGCTCCAAATATACTACGCTATCATGATGCCTTTCGAGTTGCGTGCATACAAAATTGTCTTCTAGATCTATAATTCAATACAATTCAACTGTAAAATTACCAAAACATGTAAAAAATTTAATTCGTTCACGATATATTAGCCCCATAATCAACATGAACTTATTAAAAAGAATACGAGCTCACAGGGCGCTGAAAACCATAGGTCGGATCAATACAATTCCCAGTAAACTAGTACCAGCAGTCTCTCGGATTGAGCCTGACGATTTTACTATGTCAATACTTACAACCAATTCCCTGATTTAAAAAAAACCAAACAAGAAGATCAAAAAAATTTAGCCTAGGACCATATTTCACTTCTACTCTGATGGACTGAATATCTTTCATAAGGAGTACTAAAAGTTTTGATTAACAAGAAATAAAGAAAATTAGATGGTTTTGGTTCAAAACTAACACTGAATATCCAAATCATTGACATGCAGTTCCAGAAACATAAAAATTTCAACAAAAAACACACAATGCGAGCTGAAAATGGGGTTAGAAATGCAGAGTTGACAAATACTACTAAGATGAAGTAAATATCATTGTTGAAAGTCACCAACAAAGCTGGAATTATTTTGTATAAATGACATATAATAATTTCTTCGTTTAATCCTTATGCTTAAAAATTTTCCAACAGATGATCAAATATAATGAAATTGTAACACCCCAATTTAGGGGCTAAAATTAAGAAATTATAAAGCGGTGGATTTAATTTGGTATTTTAAAAGAAACAGGGGATTAAATTGTAAATTTTTAAAGTTGGCAGACCATTTTAAGAAGTGCAGGAAGTTCAGTGGCTAAACCCATTATTTAACCATTTTTTTAATATGTTGAATTATAAATCTGATTCCCGTGCGCAGGCAGCAGAAATTTTCCAGATTTCCCTTCTCCAACAACCCAACTTCCAACTCCGATCTACTCACCGTCCGACCTCCAAACGACGAGCCGAAACCACCATCGTGTTCGTTGTCAATCGAGGAACAAAACCCCTCAAACCTTTCGTCGTGAATCATCGCCGTTCGTCTTGAATTTCAGTCGGAAGTATCATCGGTAATAACTCGGTTTTAGTTGGTTTTTCATCGATTCACGACGATCGGGTCATCCGTTTACGACACCTCCCGCACCATCGTGTTCATTGCATCGTTCCGAGTTTGCCGGTGTCATCCTTGGTCTCCGTCGACGGCGGCGCGTGAGGAGGTGAAGCGGTCAAAGTTTTCGATTTGTTGAAATCGAGCTCTCCGCCGTTCAAAATTATGAACCGAGCTTTGTAAGTATCTCGAAATCGCTCAAAATAATTTTTGGAAATTTTTCCGGGATTTTAGCACTGTTCACGTGCCCCCACGCGCCGCCACTGCGCGTGGGGAAGAAAAAAATGACCGGTTTGACCGGTCACAAACCGACCCGACCCGTTGACCCGACCCGACCCGTTTACCCGACCCGACCCGTTGACCGTTGACCCGTTGACTGTTGACCGGTGTTAACAACTGTTGACCAAAACTTTAACTGGCTTTGACCGAGCATTAAACGACCTTTGTTTTTGATCGAGTATACCTATCCTGACATTTTTCGACGTTCCAAATCCGATTCCGCTGTCCGTTTTTCGAAATTCGAACCTGAAGATCTCGAAATTGCCGGTCAAACCCGTTGACTTTGATTTTGACCGAAAATTCCAAATTTCCGAAAAGTCATATTTTATGCTTTCGACGTCCTGAATCCGAATCCGAAGTCCGTTTCTCCAAATTTGAACCCGATAAGCCGTCTTTCACTGATTTATCACCCGATTCGATCCATTTATCGTAATTAAGCTTCGTTTCTGATATAATTTATGTTGATATGTATCTGAGGAATTATTGGAAGTTGAATTGAAGATCAAAGGCATTCGAATGGAATTTTTATGGTCGATCAATATTGCACGAAAATTGAGGTAATACTTTACTACCTCTTTATGCTTTATGGAATATGTGAATATTGGTAAATGCATGATTAAGATAATGTTGGTCTCATTTGTGTAGTTAATTAGTTTCTACACTCGATCTGAATACGGTAAAAGAGTTCAGTAATTGATTATGGTTCAGATGATTTTTACAAGAAATTGAGGGATTGTTAGAATTAAATTACAAGTTATGTGCTTAGTGATAAAGAAATCAACATGGGTTTGTAACTTATAGTTTATTTCATCAAAGGTTAAATGTTAAAGGTACTTGGATGGGAAATTATGATAATACTCCGGTAGGGTAAAATTACGAAAATACCCTTAAGTTGGAAAATGACAAGAATTGTCTGTGGAAGTGGATTAATAAATCTGAAAAGAATTATTGATCTGCTAAAACTATTGATGTGCATAAGAAATGTTAGTTTTACTTGGAAATTATGGATAACCGGTTTTTAACCCCAAGAAGGTTTATGCTAGATACTAGAAGCCTTTTAAGGAATCATTTCAAGATCAAAGAATGTTCGAGGAAGCAATTAATCATAGGATCTATATATTATATTATTTTCGTTAAGAGATAATATCGAAATTATCTGGTTAAGAAATTACGAAAATGCCCTTGAAAGGTAAAATAGTCAGAGTTGACCCTGAAGGAGAAAGTACTTTGAGGATTTGTACTTAACTCGATTAAGTACAAATTTAATTATTAATATTCTATCTTTGTAAAGAAAAATTCATAATATTGCATTTGTAAAATCCGAGAAGGCACTTGACCCGAAAATATCTGAGTTATGAGTAAATACCTGAAGAACAATTTATCGGAGGGTGCTCTTTTATCATAATTGTTCGAACAGACTGAAATAGATGATAAATTGGAATTAAATAATAAGACCGGATGAAGGAAAAAGATTGAAATACCGTGGATCTGTAAAATGACCAAAATACCCCTGTAATGGAAATGACCCAAGAATATCACCAAGATCAAGAATGATTGAATATCCTCGAGCTCTGAAATGAATGGAATAAAACTGAACATCAAAATTACCAAAATACCCTTATGGCCTAAATTAAGTAAATGTCTTGGATTAATTAAGGAATCCAAGTAAGCATGGGTATTGGACTACCTTTAAAGGTAATGGAAAATAATTTAAGTGAGTAGATCAACCCTAAAGCTATGTCAATACCTGAATGACATAGATATTACTGGAACATGTGTTCGTCTTCTCAAGTTTGGCTCGATGACAAATTTTGGAAGTATTCAGTTCAGCTCAGATCTAGATCGTATTCAGTACTAGGAATT